TGTATCATCTCTTCTTGATGAAAACATTGACACCTGTAGCTTTAACAAATATATGCAGTCCATTGTTGTTATCTGTAGGCACTCTGCTGTGCAGTGGAGCGCCAGCCCGTCTTTCTCCTGACTGTAACTTAGCACCTGTTTGTCAGTGGGTATCCTTCCCTGACCCGTGTTACTCTTCCTAGCCTTGGGTAACTTCTGTGAGACAAACGTTTGATTCCACATATCAGTAAGATCATGTGGTATCTATGCTTCTCTGCCTAGCTTATTTCACTTAGTATAATGCCCTCCAGCTCTGACAAAACTGCACCTGCTTTTAGGGCTGAGGAGTATTCTATGTGTGGGCACTGCATGTTCTTTATCTGTGCATCTGTTGATAGACAGCTGTGGTGAGTACTGCTGCACTCAACATGGGAGTTAGATGTCTCTGACAAATTGATTTCAGTGCCTTTGGATAGCAACCTCGTCGTGGGAGTGCTGGATCATATACATATGCAATGGCTGCATAACCTTTTTTAAAAAAACTGACTGTATTAGAACAGTCATCACACTGATTTCTCTCTTCTCTCTCTCTCTCTCTCTCTCTGTGTGTGTGTGTGTGTGTGTGTGTGTTTTAAAGTTACATTTTGACAAATGTTCTTCTGTTACTCCCAGTCGTCTTACTAATGTACCTGCCTGGGCATCCTGATTCCCAAGCCTTCGAATACTGCTGGGCTTCTCTCTGCTTTTCAGGCCAAATCATAGACTAAGAGTGTTTTCTTAGCTCCCGGAGCTCTTTCTGCTGTTGTTTGAATAACCTCTGAAATCCTCACCTTCCTATAAAGTGATATCTGACTGACCCAGAAAGTAGTGATTTTTGCTGAGATATGTCTCTTTATTTTCCATCACTCCCGAGTCTTAACCTTCTGTGTGGAATAAAGAAAAACCATGTATTTACTTATTTGTGAGGTAGGGCCTAGGAAGTAGAAAAAAAACCTTTTTAAACTTTTTGACACATCAGCATTTCAACTTCAAAGTCACTGTGGTTTCTTGAGAAGTTACATACTTTTACTTTTGGGAGTTTTTAAAAAGCCCCTTTCACTTCTTCATGGTTCTAAATAGTCCAGGAAGCTGGTAGAGAAGAGTAAGAAGTCAATCAATGAGAATGTTCATAAGGAAGTGAGACTTACTGAAGCGATTCCCCAGGTGTTGGCTTCGTATTTTCTCGACTTACACGGGAAAATGTTGCTGTGTTTAATCTGAAGTCTGACCTGTCATCACAGAATTTTGTTCATAATGGTTTGAATAATATTGGAGGATTAAGACAAATGAACCAATAAATAATGATTGCGGAGACTAGAAATAGACATAATCACCAAGCTCCCTGCCTAGAACGATCTTCTGTTAAACTGGAAGCTGTATGAATATTTTCAATAAAATCGCCAGCTTCTTTCATGAAAAGATAATCGATACAAGTAACCATTTAAGGATGTAGGCGACTAAGCTGCATCCAAGTACTTGAAGTCCTTTCAAGACAGGAGTTGACAGTGCTTAAATTTCAGAAAATAAATTGTTAGCATACATAAGCAGCTTTGCTGCCAGCACTGGAAAACCCGTATTTATAATTTACTTCTTTGATAACAATAAAAATGTTATTTCAAGGTTTATCCAGACTTTTCAAGAAACAGATTAAATGTATGGGAATTAGTCTGTTTTCCCTCTGTGTTCTCTCTACTACCACCTAGTGGAATAAATAGAGATTGACCTGTCAAAATCACAAAAAGATGAAAATGGTTAAATTTATCTCCGGGAAAAATTTCCATGATAGTGAGTTTTGTCACTAATTTTAGTAAAATGGAGGTTGCATAAATGCATGGATTCCAAGGGAGAAAAGTCTCAAATGCTCATATGATAGCCAATAAAATGCTATTAGCTTGTCCACAGTGAATGGAAGTGAAGTAAATTACCGAGACAAATCCCAGCCCATCGTACCTCTCAATTGTGTTGAAAAGCCTTTTTTTTCCTCCTTAAGATTTATTTATTTGAAAGGCAGAATTACACAGAGAGAAGGAGAGAAAGATTTTTCATCCTTTGTTTTTCACTTCTCAGATGACCATAACAGCCAGGGCTGAGTCAGGATAGCAGAGGGTAGCAGGGACAGCACATGAATAGCAGGGGCCCAAGCCCGTGGGCCATCTCCTGCTGCCTTTCCAGGCGCATTAGCAGGGAACTGGATCGTAAGTGGAGCAGCTAAAGTCAAACAGGTGCCCGTAAGAGATGGCAGCGTTGCAGATGGTGGTTTAACCTGCTGAATCAGAACTCTGCCCTAAAAAGTCTTTTTTAACTCTTCCTTACACTGATTTTTTAAAAAAATATATAACCCTAACTTTCAAAACCCCCATGAAATGAAAGTACTATCATTACATTTTTTTAAGGATTTATTTATTTATTTGAAAGAAGGAAAGACGGAGAGAGGCAGAATCTTCCATCTCCTTGTTTACTCTCCAGATGGCCACAACAGCCAGAGGTAGGCCAAGCCAATGCCAGCAGCTTCATCTGGGTCTCCTATGTGGGTGCAGTGTCCCAAGCACTTGGGCCATCCTCTGCTGCTCTCCCAGGAGCAGTGGCAAAGAGCTGGATTGGAAGTGGAGCAGCCGACATTGGAATAAAGGCAGTCAGCCAAGTGGGATACCAATATTACAGGCACTGCTTGACCTACTATGCCACAGGGCCCAGCTTCTCACTGAACTTTCTTCATGATAGGTGCACAGAAACTCAGAGGTGAGCTAGCCAAGTGTTTTCAGAGCTGGGGGACCCGGCGGTGTTGTGTATTATTGCTAAGGGGATTGCTTCCCTAAGCAGTGATATCAAGAGACACCAATGAAGCTTGAAAGCTTCCTGTCCTTGACTCCATCTTCAGTCCTCATAAAGGAACAAACACAAATGAGCAAAGAAACAGAAGCGTCTGTTGCCTGTGGACTGATGACTGCCTGTTGGTGGTCGCTGTGCTGTGTGCCAACCCGCGGGCATGCTTTTCAAATGACGCCATGCACACGTTCTTTCCTTTCTGATTCTGCATGATCTGGGTGTTGTTCATAGTGGGCAGGGGGACCGAGAGGCACTGGGCAGGAGGGAGAGCTGCAATGGAAATTCAGAAACAAATGTGAAGTTCACTTCCAGTGAGTTTCGGCAAACAGTGCAGACCCAGGATCAGCTGCAGTTGTGTCTTCGGTTCCTTTACCTGGTTCTCTGTATGACAGATCGCTACCCATCTCCAGGCAGACTGGTTTGTATCCCGAGACCTGAACTGAATACTCCTGACTTGCTTTCTTGTTGCCCGTGACCTTCTTCCCCTTTAAAATACATCTCTCTCAAAACTTTTGTCTCAGTTTTCTTCTTTAGTAAGCCAGTGACTCCAACTCCTTAGAACTGCTGCTGTGTTAGAGGGTGGTTTTGTGTGATTTTTGCATTGCTTGTGATTTTTCGGTATTTGTGGGCAAGGCCGTCTTCAGCCTTTGTTATGCATGATACAGGTGCCTGAGTTTGTCCCATCTTTCTGATGTATTTATGCTGTCTGTGTCTTTGTTTTAATTTGAGAGACAGAGAAAGAGCTCCCATCTGCTAGTTCACTCTCCGAATGCTTGCAAGCGCCTAGAATGGGCTCAGGCTGGCAGTGGGAGGCAGGAACTCCATCGAGGTCTCCCATGTGGGCAGCAGGAACCCAACAACCTGAGCTGCATCAGCAGAAAGCCAGAGTCAAGACCAGAGAACTCTAGCACTGTGATCCGGGGTGCAGGCTTTTTTTTTTTTTTTTTTTTTTTTTTTTTGACAGAGTGGACAGTGAGAAAGAGAGAAAGGTCTTCCTTTTGCTGTTGGTTCACCCTCCAATGGCCGCCGTGGCTGGCGCACTGCACTGATCCGATGGCAGGAGCCAGGTACTTGTCCTGGTCTCCCATGGGGTGCAGGGCCCAAGCACTTGGGCCATCCTCCACTGCACTCCCTGGCCACAGCAGAGAGCTGGCCTGGAAGAGGGGCAACCGGGACAGAATCCGGCGCCCCGACCGGGACTAGAACCTGGTGTGCCGGTGCCGCAAGGCAGAGGATTAGCCTAGTGAGCCGCGGCGCCGGCCCGGGGTGCAGGCATCTTAACCATTAGGCTTAACACCTGCCGCCTGTCTGCTATCTTAATGTCCAGCCGAAACTCGCTCGCTCTTGCTGTGCCCCACCCAACACAGTCAGGTGTAGTAATGGCACACTCCTCTAGTCTACCACTTCTGGAGGACTTGGCTTGTCCGAAACAGCTAGGCTTTGAAACAGAGGGGCCCATTAGAGATGCAAAGAATATGTTCAGCCTTCAAGGACTAAGATCTGAGTTCTTCCCTTTCTTAATTCCCAGCTGATACCACCTTACAAAGTGTTACAGCTGGTTGTTCAAATTATGTTTTTCCAGGTAGATGTTTGGTGCAACAGTTAAAACTCACTTGAGATACCCACATTCCATATTGGAACGCCTGGATTCAAGTTCTAGCTGTTTTAATTTCAGTTTCCTTCTAATGTGTGCCCTGGGGGTAATGGTTGATGGCTCAAGTAGTTGGGTCCCTACCACCCTTGTGGGAAAAATGGACTAAGTTCCCTCCTCCTGTCTTCCCCCTGACCCGGGCTTGACTATTGCTGCCTTTGGGGGGATTGAGCCAGTTTGCTGTTTCTCTGCTTTTCGAATACATACATACATACATACATATGTAATAAATAAACTTTTATGTCTGTTGCTTCTTTAAAGTCCTAGAACAACAAAAACCTGACAAGTTCACTTTTCATCTCAAAGCCTAACTCAGAAAGCTAAGCAAATTGACCGTGAAGTTCTCTGTTTTTCAGTGTTGTCTTCTTAAAAGACCGTCAGGCTTTGTGTAACTCAATTTGAATTGATGGCCCTTTCTGGGAGGTAGTTGCAGACCTACTGTCCACTTTAAAGACCGGTGTCTGCACTCTGAGTGACAACGGTGTGTGCTCTTATCTTATTGCAGGCTTCTCTTGGAGTCAAGAAGCCTACGAAAGCCCTGCTCTTTGTGATCTTGAGCCCAGTGGGACCTTATTTTTCAAGTGGTGCCTTCAATCCAGTGTCCCTGTGGGCCAACCCAAAGTATGTAAGAGCCTGGGAAGGGGGAACTGGAGCCTACAAGATGGGAGGGTAAGTAACTCTGTTCCTCTGCCTGACCACGTAGTTACTGTCCTTGAACTTGATTGTGAAGACATATAATGATAGACTTGAATGCTGCTTTCTGTTTCATGTTCAGTTTCCAGTGTTTTTATTTATTTTTAAATTTTTGACAGGCAGAGTTAGACAGTGAGAGAGACAGAGAGAAAGGTCTTCCTTCCGTTGGTTCACCCCCCACAAATGGCTGCTATGGCCGGCGCTGCGCTGATCTGAAGCCAAGAGCCAGGTTCTTCCTCCTGGTCTCCCACGCGGGTGCAGGGCCCAAGCACTTGGGCCATCCTCCACTGCCTTCCTGGGCCACAGCAGAGAGCTGGCCTGGAAGAGGGGCAACCAGAACAGAATCCGGCACCCCAACCAGGACTAGAACCCGGTGTGCCGGTGCCGCAGGTGGAGGATTAGCCTAGTGAGCCGTGGCGCCCACCAAGTTTTCAGTGTTTTTAACATGTTAGTTACTTAAAAGCATAACTAGGGGACCTTTATTAGGGTGAAGCAGGTAATACAATTCCCAGGTGAGAACGAAAGTAAAGCAGGAATCAGAGGAGTGCTTGGAGTGAGCCAGCCCTGGACCCTGGGCCTCTGGGACTGGAGGCTGCTGGTTGGTGCTAGAGGGCATCTGGTCCTGGGGTTGAGGCTGTCAGCTGGCTCCACAGCGTCTTCCCCATAGACGCCTGCTCTGCTCAAGGGCTGTCTTCATTGTCATGGATCATGGCCACACCTGCTGCCAGCTGGCTGAGGGACAGCTTGGCTCTGTCAGGCTGGTCTCGTAGGCCATATGTAGCTGGCAAGAAATAAAAGAGCGTTTGAAAGGTGTTAGACAGTCTCAGGGTGGACTTGGCCGTGATTTAGGAATTCCCCAGTGGGTGAACCAGACTAACTGGATTGGCCATTCTGGGCTCCTCCTCTGTCTGTCTCACTGGTGATGGGCATCATGTACCCAGGGCAGTGACAGTCCCGCAAGGTGACTCAGGGACAATCTCCTGGGCCCTCGTACTGCATCTGGATGTAGGAAGTTCTGAACATATTCCTCTGGAAGATAGTGAAGCTGGCATTGGCCTCTCTGTGGCCTTCCTGTCCTAGCTCAGAACACTGTTTCCTCTGCCCCAGGCAAGCAGGTGGAAGAAAAAGCATTACTCTCTTGATTGCTTTTTCTCACGTGTTCAGACTTCTGCACTGAGTTGTGCGTACGCTCTGTTTTCTACCATGTGAACTATGTTAAGACTCTTTAGGGTGCACATTACAAGAAAACAGCCATCTTGAAAGCTAGTAAGGATGAAGGTTCCTTTTCATAAATCTTGCTTTCTAGCTACCCCTGTCTGCTCAGGGAAAAGATAACATAGGGACAGAGAAATTGCAGAGAAATCTTGATTGACTTACATTTGAGCAGGTTGTAATTAATTATAAAGATGAGATGATGCAGTTTCACAGAAGACACAATCACTGGAGGCCAGCTAGGAATTAGTATTTACTGAGGGGCAGGCATTTGGTGCAGTAGTTCAGCCATTGGGATGCCTGCATCCCGTATGGAATGCCTGTGTTCAAGTCCTGGCTCTCTCCATTCCAGTTTCTTGTTAACATACACCTTGGGAGACAGCAGATGATGGCTCAAGTTGTTGGGTCTTTGTAACCTACATGGGAGACCTGGGTTGATTTTGGGCTTCTGACTTCATACTGGCTCAGCTATGGCTTTAGTGGGTACTTAGTGAATGGACCAGCAGATATCATGTGCATCTTTCTCTCTCCCCTCCTCCACCTGTCTTCTCTCTCCCCTTATCCCCTCTCCTTCTCCCTGTGCCTTTCAAATAAAATGAAAACATAAAAAATTAATATTTTCTGTACATCATAGAGTGAACCCTACTATACACTATGGAGTTGTGTACCACATCTTAATTCAAGATGTTGATAATAGGCACAATTGGGAGGGTAGTGAGGAAGAACTTTGAGAATTCTTTGTAGCTTTTGCTCAATTTTTCTGTAAATTGTAAAGTACTCCAAAAACAGAGTGTATTATGAGAAAAACGATCACTCTGACTCTACTCTCAGGTGGACCATGATCAACATAAGATGACTTGAAATCTTGCAGGTGAGGAAGAGACTAGAAAAAGGCAATATTAGAGCTTACAAATAAAAGCAAAAATGGCAAAAGGGAAGATAGTGACAAAAATCTGCGTACCTTCCTTTCAGTTTTTCTGTGAATGTAAGTAATGTAGCCCAGCCTGTTGTTGCAGGAAGTTTTACGCTCCCTGCTCCAAAGCTTCCAGCTTGAAGGAAATACAGAGGAAACCAAAGACCCTGCATTCAGCTTCCTCCTATTTAGTTGGCAAAGACATTGGAAATCAACTTCAGATTAATGGATTAATAGTTGTTTAAATACAATTAAGCCAGTAACTGGCCTTCAAGCACTTTTTTTAGGCCCTTGTGGTCTACTGATTCTCATAAATTCAATAGCTTTTTTTTTTTTTTTTTTTTGACATATAGAGTTAGACAGTGAGAGAAAGACAGAGAGAAATGTCTTCCTTCCGCTGGTTCACCCCCCAAATGGCCGCTACGGTCGGAGCTACGCCGATCCGAAGCCAGGAGCCAGGTGCTTCCTCCTGGTCTGCCATGCGGGTGCAGGGCCCAAGCAGTTGGGTCATCCTCCGCTGTCTTCCCAGGCCACAGCAGAGAGCTGGACTGGAAGAGGGGCAACCGGGACTAGAACCCGGTGCCCATATGGGATGCCGGCACTGCAGGCGGAGGATTAACCAAGTGAGCCACGGCTCCAGCCCCCTCAATAGCTTTCTGATTTGCTTTCTGATTTCTGTCTGATTGAACCTGAGGAAGGGAGAGAAATATTTTTTCCATCTTTATTGTAAGATTATTCCACTGTTTTGAAACCAGGGAAGGTAGTATTACCCATTTATTTCTAAATATACACAGATGAGGAAGGCAATGCGTTGGCACCCACCTGAGAGAGAGTTCTAGCTTGAGCAGCTCCACCTCGACAACCAATTGAAATCATCCAAAAGCATCATGACACACTGATGCCTGGGTCGCAGCTAGAAATTCTGGTTTATTTGGTCTCTGGTTTAGATGGTCATCAGAGATTTTTAGTGTACATCTATACTTGAGAAGCTTTGGGCTAGGGAAGGTTTTTCATACTAGGAACATCTTTAGTTCCAGACAATTACTGCTTGCCTTTTTTTTTTTTTTAATTTTTGAAAGTCAGAGAGAGAGAGAGTCAAAGAGTTGATTCACTTGCCAATGGCTCCAGTGGCCAGGCCAAAGCCAGGAGCTTTGTCTGGATCTCCCATGTTGACACTGGGAGCCTCAGATCTCATCCTCCACTGCTTTCCCAGGCACATTAGGAGGGAGCTGGATCAGAAGTGGAACAGCCAGGACTTGAACCAGCACCCACATGGAATGCTGGCATCACAGGCAGTAGCTTAACTCCACTATACCACAACACTGGCCCTGACAATTTCTATTCCTTTCTCTCTCTCTCTCTCTCTCTCTCTAGTTTTTTCCCCCTTTGCACTCTCATTTTACACTTAAGAATGTAAGCTTTGAAGTCAGAATGACCTGGCTTAAAAACTTAACTGCTATAGCAGTGGACACTTTGTGTATATACTTGTCCAAACTCATAGGATATGCAGTACCAGGAATGAACCCTGATACAAGCCATGGACTTGTGATGGTAATGGTGTGTCCATGTTGCAAATGTACTGGTCTGCTGCAAGACATTGATGATAGGGTATGCTGGGGAGGGGGACAAGGAGTGTATGAGAAATTTCTGTGACTTGTCTGAATGTAAACCGCCTTTAAGAAAAAACAATCAGTCTTTAAAAGCCAATATCCACAAACACACACACACACACACACATAAAACCTGATTGCTTATCTGCTGGCAGTATCAGTTTTCTGATTTATAGAATCCTGGTACCAATACCTGCCTTCCTTGTGTAGATTGAGATAATTGAGATACCAAAGTGCTTAGGACGGGGCTCTCAACAAGCGAGTGGTCTGACGTCACTCTGTAGAGGCTAGGAAGCCAGGAGTTCTGGAGTCACACACCTACTATCTGTGTGATCTCGGACAGTGAAATCCTGTATTCCTTGAAGTCAAACTCCAAGGAGTATTCTAAGGTGATTCCAAGAAATGATATGGTTAAGTACGCAGTGTCCTGCTGGTGAGGCAGTAACTTCTCAACAGACATTGGTTGGTGAGGCTTTCTCACTGTTTCTTTTTAAAATGTATTGATTTTTAGTTGAAGAGCAGACACTGAGAGGAGAAGAGACAGAGGTACCTGGTTCATGTCCCAGGTACCTGCCATGGACAGGGCTGAATCAGTTCGAAGCCTGGAACTTAATCCGGGTCTCACATGTGCATGGCACTTGGTGAGTTACCACCTGCCGTCTTCCAGGGTGCACATTCACAAGAAGGTGGAATCGGGAGCTGAGCTGGCACTCAAACCTGCGCACTCTGACAGGGCATGCGCATGTCCTGAGCAGCGTCTTTAACTGCTGCACCAGTGCCTGCACTTGACTTCCTTAGTTCATCTCTTGGACTTTTGTTTATCTTAGAATACAGTTGGCTTTCTCACAGCAGAGTGTACTCTCTTGTTGGGGCATGTTTAATACTTCTGTTCTCCCAGGTATTTATTCTATTTTCAATTATCTTGCACATTTTCTAGGTAGGCAATTTTCCCACTTTTTCATTTTGTTCTTTCTCTGAGAACTTGTATTTCTCTTTTGAATATTGACTTAAATGGGAAGGAAAGCAACTGTATTACCAAAGTAGCAATTACTCTGTGGACATTAATAATGCAGTGTACACCTGAGAGAGAATTTTGAGAAAAAATTGCATTTGAGAAAAACACCATCTATGGAATATAATAATACACAAGTCAATCACTTAAACCCTAAACATAAAAAAGTACACGTTTTCCTTTCAGTGCACTGAGTGAACAGAGATCTTTAATTCTTTAATTTCTCTTC